GTTTTTTAATCAAAAAGGGAGGTCTTGTGAATGTCGTGACACATTCATGAGGTCATTTTGACGTGACACATGTCCATAGAGATGGGTATGTAAGAAATGTCTGTACACCTAGTGTACAGACCACGTGTAAGTAAAATTTTGCTGAAAATCGTCCAACAATGGTTGTAGATTTACATTGCTGGGAGCTGCCAGAGCTTCCGTCTGGATTAAGAGGATAGGTGGAATAAGGTTATCATGCCAGAAAGATATGTACTTGTGTTTATTGACTATACAAAGACATTTGTTTGGGTCCTAAGCTGTAGTTAACCTAAAGTGCGGCATCAGGATTGGTTGAAGGCTTAGTAATAACTCAAGGCATGCAGATGATGTACAACCTGCTTGTTAAAAATGAGGACTTGAAACAATTCCTGGTTAAGATCAAATATGGCAGCCTCCAGTATGATTACAATTCACTGTGAAGACCCAAATTCTCACAACTAGACCAGTGGGTAACATGATAAATCTAGAAAAGATTTAAGTTGTCAAGGATTTCATTTAGTTAGGTGCAAAATCAATATTCATGGATAAAGTGTTGAAAAGCAAGGGAGTTACTTTGAGCACTAAGAAGGTGTGCTTGACCTGAGCTAGTATATTTTCACTTGCCTCCTGTGCATGTACAAGTTGGACATTGAATCTTGAAGAATCACTGCATTTGAATTATGGTATAGGTGAAGAATGTTCAAGGTACCATCGACTGCCAAAAGAACCAACAAATCTGTCTGGAAAGAAAACAGCCAGAATGCTTTTAGAGATGTGAATGGCAAGAATTTGTCTCATACTATAAACATGTTATCAAGAGACCACCGCTCAAGGACATCATAACTGGTAGAGGGGCAGCAAAAAAGAGGAAAGCCCTCAATAAGATGCCTTGATACAGTGGCTGCTCAAGCATGCAAGAACATTTGTGAGGATGGTGAAGGATTACACAATGGTCCCCAATGTTGTACACAGGGTTGCTCTGAGTTGGAACCAACTGGATGACACCTAACAACAATATAACCACAACAGAAAAGTAAAAGATGTTATGTGAGCCTCCTTAAGTAGTAAAAATTTTACTTATCCTCATGAAAGCAGAAGGACTTATGTCCTGACTTTTCATTTTCTAGGTGGCACCTCCTATACCTTCAGTCACTGATAATCCTGATGGTACAGCAAGTACTGATGGAAGTGCACCCACAACCCTAGGAGGACCACTTCCTCCACATCTGGCCCTCAAGGCAGGTGAGAGATTAATGTGTGCACTTTTGACAACGGGAAGAAAATAGATCTGTGTTTGGCTTCTTCCCTAGTTACAAAGAAACAGTGACAGAAACTTGATGCTAAGAGACACAACTCCGGGGTTTCATCATCTCATTTCTTTGATGTTAGCGTTACCAAATTTCTATCTCTGAGTTCACATGGCATAATCTTGGGAATTTCCCTTTCTCATTTCTAGCTTTTCCCCCACTAAAATATAGATTTGTTTAGCTTAAGAATCAAAGCCATTCTTTGATTTTAGTCTGTAAAATTTACTCTTTGATATTGCCAAAACGTTTACTGGGATGACAACTGTAGGGTAGATTAGCTAGGATGTTGATCACATTAAGTCTCAATCTAGTATTTGTAAGATGGGAATAATTATAGGAGTAAAGGAGGAAATATGTGTCTAATTAGACTTGCTGGGTAGTCAATGGGGCATTTATTTGCTTTCTCATCAAAAGTCAGCTTTCTTAAACCTCTTGAGTTTCTTTTTGTTTTCATCCCCACCACTTA